GCTTCTCCTTCCTTACCATGCCTCCGAGCGCCTATGTGAAGGCCATGTCGCAGATGAGCGAAATGTCCGAGGTGTTGCACCCGCTCTCCATGGGATCTACCACGGTGACAGGCCTGCCGGGCGCACATCTCGCCAGGCGATTGAGCAGCATGTTCCGGCCCTTTCTCCCCAAGTCCATGGCTGAGACACAAATCTGCTCTGGGGATCGAACGAAGCAATCGCCGGCCTCCTGTCCGTACCTTCAGAGGCACTTCGCAGACGACATGCGTTCGCTTGATAGTCTTCTGGGTAGAATTTGCCCGGTGACTGGCAATGCTGCCAAGATGGAGTCGGACTGGGCTGAGAAGAAGCGGGTCGACTTCGAGGCACACGAGGCAACCCTCGATCCTAAAAGGACCGAGATTCGCACGATTTCACTTTGCGATTTCAGTTTGAGCCAGTGTCTCCGACCCAGGTAGTTACAACACCACCGGGATGTACAGAGAAGACCAGCTAGCGGTTGGAGTGTTCGCAGCGCGTGTCATCAGCTGATACAAATTGCAGTTTTGCATGCCGCGTTGCCTTGCGATTCCGTTTTCCAGCCACGTCGTCCACAAAGGATTGACTGGCATTTCGCGCAAGCTAAATGTATAGTCACAGGATTCTCTAAGTGTCCTACCGCGCCCACTTACAGTACAAACCGTATTTCGTACTTTCCAGGCTGCCTTGGCTGCATGGTGGGCTTTGCATTGAAAGCAATGCCTCCACTAGAGCACAGGCGTCCTCGAAGGAAAGAAGACCTACTTCTCACGCAAAGCTAGGGTGTTCCGTCAGAAAAGGCACTCGCTCGGGTTGTTTTTTGTCACCTGCTTGCTGCGCGACTTCGGCCAATTTGATCGTTGTTGTTTTTGTTTGTGTTTGTGCGGCCGGGGAAACATGAAACCCCAGTTTTCTCGGGCAGTGCTAGCCTGAAAAGGCTGCATTGGGTATCACCGGAAGAGAGGACTTTGACAAGTTGACCGGTTCTGGCAGCTGGTGCGAAGTATGCGCACGCAACAACCCATCGCTGACAGGAAATCGAACACTCTTTGGGAAACCGAGCAAACAGGGATACCCAACTTGATGACGACGCAGGCATAAAGGCACGATCCCATAGCGCTACAACTTCGTCACGCCCATCCATC